CTTTTAATTGTGTAATAATTAAAATATATTTTAAACGATGTATCTTTTATTACTGTTGAGTATTTGCTCTACAATCTAATTTTGTTAAATTAAAAAAAGCAAAATCATAAAAATTAAAATATATCTGGGAAAATCTTTGACTGAGGGGTAGGCCACCTCAATAATATTTTGAAAATATATAAATTCCCCATTAGACACCTGTAAACTATACTGGGTGTTCCATTTTAAATAAAAGATGGTATTTGCTTTTTGAAAGTGACTAATGTTTCATATTAATTTGTCTCACCCTGTATAACTTTTCGGGTCAAATTTCAGTTTAACATACAATAGTTACTGTAATTAATATCAGGCTATACAAGGTCGAATTAAAATTTAGGTAGCTGTTATCGAAATCTAAATTTACTCTTCATTTTCACAAAATGTGAAATATGTAAAAATCCTTAGATTTTAAGTATATGCTTCTTTAATAAAACTCACCATTATTTTTCTAGAATCCGAAAATCAATTAATATATGTATAGGGTGTTCCATTGAAAAACACAACTTTGATGTGTAACTTTTTTGGGGACACCTGTATAATTCTATATATTTTTACAAAATGCTTTCAGTTAACCACCATGTCGCCAATATTTCATTCGATATAAACTACCGTTCTCGTTGGAGCTTCGCGGCGTGGCAAGGAAAGCGCCACCCTGTACATCCATTTTCATGAATCTTTTTTTTAGTCTGAAAGCAAATACATTTCGTTTTATATTGGAAGTTTATCTGTAAACGATAGTTTAATGAAAATTCATAGGTAGTTTAGGTAAATATGATCTTGTAGATATTTGGCGCTAAGATTTTTGGTTAATTTCGGCAGTTTAAATAAATGGATATTTTATTGTGGCGCTTGTAACGGCGCACTAGACTTCCATGTGGCCTTGCTTTGTGTATTTTTGACCCTGTGATAGTTTAGTCATTTTACTCTGAACCTAAGTCGAAATCTTTTTCGTGTTGACAAACTTTTTTTAACCTTGATGCCAGTTTTCACATTTTTATATTATATGATTTTGGAAACATGTTTTGTTGTATTTAGGTTTTATTACATTATTAACTATTAGTTATATTTGACATTATAGTATCTATCTATCGATTGACGACGATTTTTTCTCAAACTCTCGACACGTGTTGATGTAGATTACTGTGATTCAGTTTTTAATTATGTATCGATTACGAGAAGGCAGAAAAAAGAAGTGAATGTGGATTATCTCTATTTGTAAAATTGTTTCTTAGTGAAGAAAAGAAAAAAGGAATAAAGTGACATGATTATTATACAGTCGTTTTATTATAAAACATAAAAACTGTTTCTAAACGTACGGATAACCTCTCATACATTGCGGACCCTCCAAAGAGAGAACGACAGTTATATTGAAACTAAATTTTGTGAAGCATATTATGTTGGTTAATTTTTTTAAAAAAATCTACAGGGTGTTCCCCAAAAAAATGCACATCAAGTTTTGTTTTTTTTTGTAATGAAACACCTTATATATTAATTGATTTTCAGATCTAGGGAGAAAAATAAAGAATTTATTAAAAAAGAAGTATATGTCTAAAAATGTAAGATTTTTGACATTTTGATATTAAGATTTTCTAAAAATGAAGCACAAATTTAATTTTACACATAAAAGCTACCTATAAATTTACCCGCTATTGCCCAATATACTAAGGGCTGTGAGGTTAGTCTTGGGTCGAGATTTTTCGTATGTAAGTGTGCGAACACACAGTGCAAGCAGGTTTTACTGGCAGTCCGCGCCAATCTGGGTACCTATTCTTAACATCGTTCACAACACATATATGCAACTTACGTGTATTGTTATAAACAGGTCTCCAGAAATAAGTGCAAGTATCTTAAGGGGTGGTAGATCTCGATAAAAGAAACATATTTTCTCTTTATCGTTTTCAAATAAGTCCAAAATAACGGAGTTATTTTACTTTGAAAAATTTCAAAAAAATATTTTTCTAAAATTTTGAGAACCACTTGATCTTTTTCTGGATTTTCTTTTTGTAATTTAATCTACTACCTATGTTACCATATTATCAAAAATTATTTTTTTAAATAAAACTAAAAAAAACTAAAAATTTTTTAACGGCTAATATAGTTCAACCCCAGAAACACGCCTGAGTTTTTCGCTAAAATTTTCCAAAAATTCCGAATTTTCTTAAATTTTTAGCGAAAAACCTCATAGGCGTGTTTCTGGTGTTGAACTACTATTACCCGTTAAAATACTTGCACTTATTTCTGGAACACCCTGTATATGGGTACATAGTAGCGCCGCGCCGCCTCGCGCGCATAACCTTGAAAAGATTAAAGCGTGTTATCAAATCGGCTAGTTCACAGTGAGTGAGCGCCGTCAACCAGCGTTCATCGGCGTTCACGGTTTTACCGGAACGAATTTATTTCTGCTTTGCACGCGCCGACGGCTTTACAGAGAAACAATAGAACTGAAAAGTTGTAAAATTGTGTTTTTATGATTTTTTGCTTTTGCTAGTAATATTAATTATTAGAGGAAGGGGGTGTTAATATGAAACCCCATTTTGTTTCTCCTACACAATATTTTCCTCTATAGAAATCTTTCCACCGATCAAACCGGGCCATTCTGTGCAAAACAAAGCAATTTGATGAGGATGCTAGAACAAGAAAGTACTTTGTATATTATAGACGATATTTGAGCGAGGATGGATGTTATAGGGTAAATACTATTTCCTTTAAGAATCTGGAATCTATGTTTTTTTTGGCAGTGGCAAATATTGTAAGATACAATTTCCATGCGGAATGTTGCCTTGAGCATAAGTCTACACCTTATAAAATGCCTCTGATGTTTTAAATATAAAGAAATAGAATAGAAGGAAACGTTTCAAAATAAAAATATGCATAAAACAGGACTTGCCAGCTGGTATCCATCATGACAGTTATTATAAACAATTTGCAAAAAAAGCACTACAAACAATTCCACTATTTTATAATCTTAGAAATATTCAGAATACACTCAAGATAATTCATACTTACAACTGAAATATATTATTTATTTGATAGTCAACTTACGACTTAAAAAAAGCTAATAAACGTGCTTACATTTAGTATTTATAGATTTGTATTCAGTTAAGATAAAAAATGAAAATAAAAAATATCACTTTTGGCCAGGTTTATAGACCAAATACCCCTATGTGTAGCGCCGGCGCGGCATTTGAATATGGTTAGGTTAGGTTAGTTAATCAGGTAAATTTCCTCTTAATTAACTACTTCCGAACCCTGCTCGCGTCTCCGAAAAAGCCATATAATAATACACGTGATGCATATACGCAAAGTTACGCATCACGTGTATTGTTATATGGCTTTTTCGGAGATGCGAGATGCGAGCGATATTTGAAGATGCGAGTGGTCAAGAATAGGTACCCAGAGACGGCGCTGGTTGCCGGAAAGCAGAAACCTGCCTCCACTATGTTCGTGCCCTAAGAAGAGTACAATGGCGTTTATAATGTAATGAACAAAGAGAGAACAGTAAACACGTTGCATGAAATAAACCGAGAAACTGTGCACATTGCTAAGAGACGTGGAAGGGGATATAGCAGATTTGTCGCAGTCGACCCAATCAGTACCTCTGTCAGTACTTAAAGTTCTAGGGAAAGGTGTACATCATGCTTTCAGCTTCCCGATTTAATTACGTCTCGGAATACTTTATTTGTTTATTTATTAATTAACGAGTCGTTCTGATTTACCCTATAGTTAAAAATATTCTTCAAAATAAAAAAAGTTCCAATATCTAAAGGGGTTCTTAAGTTATGGCGTGTTAAAAAGTTGAGTCTGAGTATATGTTTATAATTCCATTTCAGGTGCTCAGAAACATATCTAATGATTTTATGTAGTTATCGTTTCTAAAATAAAGTATTTTAAAAATAAGCGGTTTGCGATCGTGGTTTTACTTTACTTGATAGGGAAAAGCGTACTAGCAACGCCGCAACAGCACACCGTCGCATTTCTCTCACTCCCACTTAATAAGATCCCTATATCGTTAAATACGTAGTCAATAAAGATTTATTTATTTATGCGATTTATTTCCACACATGTAAGTACCGACCCAAAAATAACAATTGCCAGAACGGTATAGTTAAAATAACTATTGTAGGTACTTTAAATCAAATTAAATCTTGACCCAAAAAGTTATACAGGGCAAGACAAAATTAATATTGAACATTGGTCACATTTAAAAGCAAATTACTCTTTTTTTAAATAGAATATTATTCCGACATTCAATGGGAATTTCAAGTCTTCAAAATACTATTAAGGATGGTTGTCCCCTCAAAGTAAGATTTTCTTAGATATTTTCATTTTTATGATTTAGTGTTAGTAGATGATGACGTTACTTCAACATAGCTGTTAAATTAGCTCAACTTTAACAACTCGTTATCCTTTTGTGTCAGTTAAAACATAAATTCTCAGAAATTTGCCGAAAATGGAAACTTAACCTACATCAGAGAGAATTGGTATGATTCTATTAACTGATGACTGAAGTGTTCATTCGCCAATTAATAGAATACTTAAATGCTCCTGATTTATCCAGTGGACTTTTTTATGGGGATTTGTAAAAGACAGTGTTTACAAAACTCGCCCAACTACTGTCGACAACATGAGAGAAAGGATTGTGACTGCTTTTTGAAGTATACTACACATTTATTTGCATCTTAACATGAAAAGATCTTTTGAAAAAAGAATCATTCATCATAAAAATTAATATATGTAGGAACCCTTTTGTCTAAGGATCCTACTTTAATAAGCAGCCTTAATAGTATTTTGAATAGATATATAAATACTGAATATCCATAGACCTCCATTGAATATCGGAATAATATACACTGGGCATTCCATTTAAAATTAATAAGTAATAAATAATTAGGTTATATAAAGTTATAAATAATTGCATTTAAAAGTGACCAATGTTTAATATTAAATTTGTTTCACCCTGTATAGGTCTCTCATATGCTTCTTTAACGAAACTCACCTTTATTTTTATTTTTTTTTCTAGAATCCGAAAATCAATTGATATAAAGGGTGTTCCATTACAAAAACCACAACTTTGATACTTAAATTATTTAGGGGAAAACCCTGTAGAACTATATTTTTAAAAATGCTCTAAAATAACCCGTTTGTAGATTATTTCATATAATTTGATTTCAATATAAACTACCATTCTCCTTGGAGCCTCCGCGTCATATGAGAGGCGCCACCCTGTATACCCTTAAATAGACAATTTTAACAATTAAATAACAATACACTCGTATGGAAAGATGTCTCCCAGTCTTCCTGCCCCTGGAACTGGACACGCTGCAACAAACGAAAACATAAATACATTTTATATCAGGAAGTTCAAAAAACGAATAACTTTTAATTTGTTACTAACTGGCTCTTGACCTCTTAACGGTCGTATTTCAATTTGTTATCTTAGGAGGAAAGTAGAATAGATCAATTTGACGGTGGAAAATTACTTAATACTACGGCTAGTCCGTAGTATTGTTTATTTTAAATAACTTTGTTTTATGTTATTTTATTGAGACCAAATTGTATTCAGATATTATGTATAAGTACGTTATTGAACACTGTTAGTTTCATTTAATTTTTAGTGCCAGATGTTTGACATTTTGATAAGTTTTGGAAAAAACGTCCTTCACTAATTAATTTTTTTTTATTATTTAGTGATGTATACAGGATGCACCAAAAAGCCCGCAACAAATGCGATTTTTTGTTATAGAGTTGAAAAACATAAATGCGGAATATCTTCAATATATCCAATAACAAAAATAAAATAATCAATCACATATGTTAATGTCACGCGACAGTATGTTACTAAAATCTTTGCTAAAATCCTAATTTAATATGCTAAAAGTAGGGTTGAGTGAACTCCACCAAGAATAATATCTAATACAGTTTCGTTTCTTTATAGATCTGTAAAGAATCAAAAAATAAAATTTTTAAGATACCAAAAATCTATAAAGTTATTCACATGAAAAACTACTATTTTTTAAAAAAAAATAATCGAAGAACTGATACTTTTTCTCCCTGTAGATTTATGACACTTGACGAATGACTGTCAATATAAATATATGCATGTATTGTATGTGCCTTTGTACCTAAATACCATATAAAGGAAAAAATTGTGTCAGATCTTACTCTGAGGTCAGAGATGGGTTGGAAATGAAGTTCTTAAGATCGTTGTCATTTTGTAGATGAAATTTTATAGGGAATGTCATAGATCGTCATCTCCAAATATCCGAGCATTCCTCTCTACTGTTTTTTTTTTCAATCATGCGGTTGTAATGTATAATATATAGGTACATACACAGGGTGGTCCGAACTGTATTCCGGAAACTTCGGCAGCACATTCTGCAGATAAAAATAATTAAAAAAGTTCGTATAAATATATGTCCCTTAATAATCTAACCTAACCTAACTAAAAAACCTCGTAAATGCATATTTTTGTACTCAGTAGTTTTATACAGGTACGGACGAAAAGTTATTACTCTTCAAACCAGTTAAGAAATATGTAGGTGGCGCCCTCTACAAGTAGGAGTCATATTGACATCAAAATCAAATTTCTCGTGTCAAAAAACTTCCAGACACCAATTTTCATCCAAATATTGACGTTACTTCATAAATTATTTGGAAGAAATCTCGAAATAAAAATGAAACTTTTACACCCTGTATCTCCGAAACTAAACATTTTAGGACGTAAATTTTTTACTTATTATTATCTGCAGAATATGCTGCCGAAGTTTCCGGAATACAGTTCGGACCACCCTGTATATAAAAATAATATTTTAAACATTGCGGTATTTTGTCACTTGATTCTACGTTTTGCTCATATATAGAAGCTTTTTATAATATGCTGCCATGACCAGGGGAGGATCCAGAACTCCGGAGGGGGGGGGCTAGACACAAAACATTACTCAAGTTCATGCCCGAAGTCGTTTCTGACATACTAAATTAGTAGTATCGTATTAAGGCGCATTCTCATGTACGACTGAACTGTCTACATTCAAAATAAAATGATAAGACAACCAGAGTCATTTAATTTTGAAAGTATATTATTTTTCTGCCATTTTTTAGATGTCGAGGACAAGGTATAGTCTTTCCAACGACTCAGGGAAGATTTCGACAGACGGCATCAAAAAGATGAGAAAAACACCATTTATGTGTGAATAAAATGACACATACACAAACAACGGTCACTGTCATGTATACTCTCGTTGGACGGACTATAGACAGAATTTTACGTCAATGAAATAAAATAAATATCTTATTTCAGATAACATAAAGGAAGTGTTGAAATAGATGGCTTATTTTAACCATTGTCACGATTCAAATGTTATTTATATATCTTCACAGTCGTTTGTTATTTTTGTTCCAATTTTTTTCTTTATATGAGTATGTTTGCGTAAAGATCACGCGAAAGGTTATCATCCGTCTAAGTTGTTTGAATTACTTTTTTAATTCAATGGAAGGATGCGGTTATGCGCTTCCTTCCATTGATTGTGTTTTGGTGAATTAGTGTTTTATTTTACTATAAATGAATAAATTTATATACCTCTGTTGCATCTCATGCCGAAGAAGCCGGTACCTTCACACCGACATTTGTACCCTGGTTGTTGTGAAATCTGTATGCAGGTACCGCCGTGTAAACAGGGGTTGCTGACTTTACAAATATCTTTCTTTTTACCTGAAATACACCAATATAGATAATTAGCATCGTAGTTTAAACCAAGATTTTTTTACATAAAAACATTTGAAACAACAGTTGAGGGTTGGAACCTTTGGTGTTATACAGCAAAATAAAAACACTAAATCACCACAATACACCAAAACACTTTTACGCTGGACGCGCGTTTCGCTAACCATGTTAGCATCATCAGCAGATGATTATAAACTAAAGTACAATCTACAAGTTGAGCGTTTATATACTCGCCCAGTGGGCGTGGCAAAATCTAGCCAAACTAGCCCACTGAGCGTAACAGCACAAAATATACACCATACAGAAGCGACAAAGAGATTTGCTTCAAAATTTTTAGGAGGGGGTAATGCTGGTTAACTGTCAAACGTGACGTCAAAGAATTATACACCAAAAAAAAATTCACGACCGCAGGTATAATTATTTCTAGATATTATGCATAAAAGACTAAAAAATATATTTCATAATTATTTATTTATTTTTAATTCTAAATAAAAATACTGATTTAAATCCCTCTAGTTTTTAAAAATGAAATAAACCTGCCTTTCATCATTTTCTATTAAAATCTAACAATTTTCTTTCAGTGTGAAACGCTGTTCAAGGCGCACGGATGTCAAACGTAACGTCACGCAATTAGTTCCCATTTGACCAATGCTATTCAAAGCTCTTTGTCGCTTCTGTATGGTGTATATTCTGTGGTAACAGTTAGATTTCCGCCACTAGAGTAGTAGGAACAAAGAACTTGAAGGAATTGGACCGTTGTCTCTGTTCATACTATCTTTACATTTGTTAATTCTGATGCTTTCATATGCATCTAATTGCCTGTAATTTGAGACTTGTTTAATTAATTTTAAATTATTAAGATCTATACAATGTTCTTTATCAACAATATGTTCGGCAACGCAAGATTTATCCGGTCTACCATATCTTATCTGAGCTAAATGTTCTTTAAATCTAGTTAATATTGATCTTCTAGTTTGCCCAACATATTTCTGATTACAATCTTTACAAGAAATTTCATAAATACCCGACCTTTCCAGTGGAGGTGTTTTATCCTTTGGATTACCTAATAATTGTTTATATAACACAAGTTTATAATTGACATTCTTAAAAATTCCTTTTAGACCACGGGATAACTCTCTATCAAACGGTATCGAAAAATATTTAGACGTATCTTTCTCCACTTGAAAAGTCGAATTTTCAGAAATCATTAACCTATACTTACGTTTTCTAATTAATTTATCAACTAGTGAAGGAGAATATCCATTACACTCAGCTACATTACTAATGTAATCTCTTTCTATTTCATATCTTTCGTTGGAAAGTGGGAAACTAAGAAATTTAAACTAGCCATTTTATGTTCAACACTATGATGTGATTCATTAGGAATATATCTGCGTGTGGTCGTATTTTTCCTATAGATATCAATTGTTTTGGTGTATTGTGGTGATTTAGTGTTTTTATTTTGCTACATAAAAACAACAGATACTTTCTTTAATTATGTTATTTTTTAAATATAAAATAAAGTATTTTTTCCATGGCTTATTTAAAACGAAGACTAAAAACTCAGAAAGTCAATAATTTATTGCTGACAAACCCCATATAGCACGTCCAAATGAAATTACGTTTCTACAAGGGAGACACATGAGAAACAACATATGTTAAAGTGAACCTAAGTGTTCATCTAGTTCTAACATATACATATGAGATACACGCAGGTTTATATTGATAGAATTGTGTGATACAGTGTTTACTAGTTGTATACCGTATGCACTCAAGATTCTAAAGAGTTTTTGTAACGTAACAAATAATTATTAAAATGATGAAATCTGACGTCGGTATATGAGACATACAATGTATAAGTCATATGTATGTGTGATACTTCGTATCATAGTTGTGCCTATAGTACACACACCTTGTAAAAACGTGACGTATACACATAATATAAATATCTATATAGACACTTTGTAATAGTGTACTGTTGTGTCTACATTCTAGCATGAAATGAAGGTGTGCGCATGCGCGGATAGCCTCAGCGTAGATACACCGACCAAGTGTATCTTATGTGTCCCTCTCCTTTCTCCTTTCTAGGAGTGGTATGTGTTAGCAGCCATTATTGTTTTATCATTCGAAAGCTCTATATATATGTTCTGTTTGTGTGTAGTTTAAAAGAGATTTTACGGTAAGTACAAGTTTTTAATTACCTTGTTACACCTTCCTAAGAGTATTATTAATATTATAGCAGCGACTCTTCCCTTACTCGATACCCAATTTACCAAATTTTGACTCCAATGAATGAAAACTCCAAATATTCTCGTATAATGATAAAGAGGTTAGCTGAGTTAGCTCTGCAATATATTTTTTTTTAATTTGGAAATAATAAAAATCTAAATGGACCAGAGAAAGAAAGATTTAAACACTTCAAAGAACTTCTTACACTGATATTCGGTAAGTTATTGAATGGATCGATATACAGATATGTTTAATATTCAATAATCAGTTTCATATAAAATTTAAGGGTGAGATTGTTAATCTGGAAATAAAATACACCAAAGTCCAACAGAGTGCTCGATGAATGAGTATGCTAACAAACCAACTGCTTGGAAGGAAAAGAGGAGAAAAAATTACTACTTAAACGAGGTCCACCAAATCGTGGCGATATACCAGTGTTTACCATTTTAGTATGTTGTTATACTGTATAGGTACTTATATTTTTAATACATTTTGATACAAATTCTGTTGTTTTAAAGTGTTTTCTTACTTCTGGTTTCTGCAGTGTAAATAATAATTATTATTGTGTTATTTGCGCTATTGCGTTCCATGATATAAAGAAATATAAGAATTTTATTTTTTAACCACTTAATCCATTTTATGGAAGAAAAATGGTACATTTAATACAAAACAAAAATGGAACAATTTTAAGGCTACTTCTCTTGAACTTACGATTGAGATACTTTTGGAAAATACAAAGTTTTGCATTCCTAATTTTCGTTCTAAAAAGATATAATTGGTATTATTGAATAAATATTTCTTAAAAAGAACGAAAAGTTAGGCATCAAAACTTGTATTATTTCCTAAATTCGTTCATAAGATGTAGTTTTATCTAGCACAAGATGTATATACGAAGCAAAATACATACGTATACACGCGGTAGTCACAACTGCAATGTGTAAACATAGTTTAAACGTAATACACAAGCACTGTGTATCCTACGGCACACTGTGTATCCCTTACTTTGTGTATACGTAAATGCTATACTGTGGCTACATTGTGAGGCGGACGTTTAACCTTTGTGCATACGTGTTGAACTACAATGTGTAAACGTAGCATATTTACATCGGGGGAATTGTGTCACCCTGTGTCTACATCTAATAATGTAAACACATCGTAAATGTGATTTGATATGCTGTATGGGACTGCAGGCAAATAAAGACTTTATAGCATAATTAAATATGCATTAGTTGATGACCTTTAAATAGCAAAAGGATTCGTTGATTAAATTGTAATTTTGGGTTTTGCTGGAAACTACACAGAATTACCTAAAATTAAGTTTGTGCTTAATATATAAATTACTGATTTTGAATTCATATAATCAGGGGTGCTAGAGATATAAACTCTAGAAATCTACATACTCATACCTATAGTTTATAACCTGTGCAACGTGTCAGGGAAGATTTCGGCAGACGACATCCAAAAAATGACAGAAAATACAATATACCTGCGAATTAAAATGACAAACAGTGTTCTATGAATTTAAGAGTACATTGCTATTTCCTATATTTTTTAGAGGTGGTGTGTCGAAATTATATATTCTCTCACTAGAAAAACTATATATTTTCTACATTAAAGGTAGTAAATATTATGACCAAGTAAAACATTGCAATGAGGTACAACTTCGAATTATCTTTAAATGAAAAGTAGTATTGTTTAAAATATTTAACAAATTCAGAGTCAAGAATTATACAGGGTTGTTCACCACACACGACACGGAGTATTGTAGTTAAACGATTAGATTTTTACAAATTGTAAGTTTTGGGTTCGTTGAAGGACTATTAGAGCTACAATTTAAAAATATTTTTACAAGATACAGGGTGTCCCAAATAACTAAAAAATATCAAAGTTGTATTTTTTTAAATGGAATACCCTGTATATTATTGCATTTTTAGTTTCTACGATTAAAATAAAGGTAAATTTGATTAAGGTTTATTACACTTAAACCTTACCGTTTTTGAAATATTTTGTAAAATTGCAGTATAAATTTTAAGGCTTCATTTCTCCGAGGGTATCAAAGTTTTTAGTACTAAATATTTACTGAAGTTTATTTATTGATCAGTTATTGTGTTACAATAATAAAAATTATACTCCCTTATACAGAGTGTCTAAACATTTATTTTAAATAATTACTAGCTTTAAACGGCAATAACTTGTTTAATTTAAATGGAATACCCTGTATATTTTATGGGAATCAGATGCACAATTTAATTGTCTATCAAATTGTATCATACCACTTTTTAGTTATCCCTTCAAGTTTTCGTAGAAAATGCATTTTCTTATAATTTAGACCTCATTTATCAATATACCCATGGAATATTGACATTTTAGATTGTTTTTAAAACAACAAATGTACAAAATGTACAAGCTAGTAATATTATCGTTTTAGTTAAAACGATGATATTATTAGCCCATTTGTTTGCAAAAAAAACTATTTAAATCTTTATAAAAGAGTATACCATTAATTAAATATACCACCAGTATTTCCGCCCAAATACTAATTAATTACATACTTAATTGTGTTCGTTAATAAATTATTCTAAATAAATGTGGATTTGAATCAGAAATCAATATAATAATAAGTTATGAAAATGAACGTCTCTGTTATAAATAAGCATTTGTCAAAAAATGAAATATCATTTTTAAGGTGTTAGTTTTTTTACCACACTGTCTAATACACATAAATAATTCAGTTTTTTAGTATTTGGAGCAATTATTATTAATCAACGCAAATAGCCAATTAATGTAGTTTGAATACTGGAATCATATTAATTGGTCCTCTTTAACAAATATTTAAACAGTTTTTTTTAATTTTTTAATGAAATAAACGAACTATATTGACAATATTAGTGTCTGTACTCTGTAAAAATTTGGTACATCTTTAAAAATAATCTAAAATGTCAATATTCCATGGGTATATTTGATAAATGAGTTCTAAATTACAAGAAAATGCATTTTCTACGGAAGCTTGAAGAGATGGTGTAATACAGTCTGATAGACAATTAAATTGTGCATCTGATTCTCATAAAATATACAGGGTGTTCCATTTAAATTAAACAAGTTATTGCCGTTAATAATTATTTAAAATAAATATTTAGACACTCTGTATAAGGTAGTAACATTTTTATTATTGCAACACAATAACTGATCAATAAATAAACTTCAGTAAATATTTAGTATTAAAAACTTTGATACTCTCGGAGAAATGAAGCCTTAAAATTTATACTGCAATTTCACAAAATTGAAAATATTTCAAAAACGGTAAGGTTTAAGTGTAATAAACCTTAATCAAATTTACCTTTATTTTAATCGTAGAAACTAAAAATGTAATAATATACAGGGTGTTCCATTTAAAAAAATTCAACTTTGATATTTTTTATTTATTTGGGACACTCTGTAACTTGTAAAAATATGTTTAAATTGTAGCTCTAATAGTCCTTCAACGAACCCAAAACGTACAATTTGTAAAAATCTAATCGTTTAGCTACAATATTCCGTGTCGTATGTGGTGAACAATCCTGTATGAATAAATTTAACACAGAATTTATATTGTTACACAAAATTAAGTCAGAATTTTTAATGAAAACCCCGAATTGAGTTTTTTATTTAAAAAAAAAAGTTAAATATTTTATTTTGTTCCATTTGTAATATGTTATAACATTTTTATTTTTCGAGATGTCACAGTTTACTGGTTTAACTAGATGTTTTAAATGGGACACCTAGTATATTAATAGATTTAAATTGATTTAAATTGATTTAAATTTCATTAAATTTTATCAAAATTCAATAGAATACGCATTTATTTATGTTAATATAATTAGCTCAGTTATTTTTTTATTTGTTATTTCCAGGTTAGCCATTTAAACATATGATTAATTTTATATGATATATCGGGTGCATCTCAAAAGTGGCTCACCCCTATAACTTTTTTTATTTTTTTTTGGTCACTTCCTGTTTCACCACGCAAATAAATGCAACTTTTGATTGTTAAATAGTACTCTCGGTATATTTCTACTTTATTCGGTAGAAAATGACACTCTGAATAGAATGACATATCATATGTAAACTTTTGACATTTTCGCATCATATGGTTTATTTGAAATTGTAACATGCGGTTCATAACGACAATTTGACTCGAAATACCAAGTGTGTGGTACCAAATTATTCGTAAAAAATGCCTTTTTCAAATATACTAATGAGCCACCCTTGTTCCATTTGCAAAAATTGAGATATGATTAAAAATACGATTTGGACATCTTTTAATCGGCCAGGACAAGACACGAAAAACATTAGACGATCAAATCTATTTTTTCAAGGCTCCTTGATTAAAAATTAGTGTTTTAACACAACCATGGCACTCTAGATTGAAATTTAAAATCCGATTTTTTTAGGTGAAAATGTCAAAAATTGACATATAATATGTCATTCTGTTCAGAATGTCATCTTCTGTCGAATAAAAATAAAAATATACCGAGGGTGTCATTTAAAAACCGAAAGTTGTAGTCATTTCTGGCAAAACAGGAAGTGACCAAAAACAATTGAATACATCAATCAATCCTAATTTATGTCATATACCTACTAACATACCAAATCTCGTTTTTATCTGAAAAAATAAAAAAGTTATAGGTGAGCCACTTTTGAGACGCACCTTGTTATATATTTGTGAATCAGAAAAAAACATAGAATACAATTCCAATATACAAGGTGTCCCATTTAAACAAATATAATTTATATCTACCAATAACTGTGATATTTGACAGAGTCTGGCATTTTTGGTAATACCACATATTACATTTGGTATATAATGTATAAACAAGAGTAATTCGTAATAAAACTTGACTAAAAAGCCTTTTGAAATTTGATTTTTAAAGAATGTTGTACCCCCAAAAATAAAAAAAATGTATAGCCGGTTAAAAGTGGGACAAAATAAAAAAAAACTATCATTGTACATGCTGCTTCCAAATTATGCATGCCGGTAAATTACCTAATAATGCCGCTTGGCATTCTTGTATCGTGTCATATCTGTAATCGGAGATGCAACCATATCCGCAAGTGCACTTCAGATCCTCTATTAAGCACCCTTTCTTCGTCTGACTCGGATCGCAACTTAAACATAGTTTGAAACCTGCAACAGGGCAAAATATAAACTTGCATTTTTCCCCTTCTAACTGTATCGAACTGACCGAAAACTAAAAGAACAATTGCCAGTAAATTATGCACATGCATTATTCTTGTTAGGAAATTTGCACGAAATGAGGTGGAAACGCTTCGTTCAATCGCCGGGAAAAAACGTCTAATTGCATTTATTTTTGTACCACACTGCTGGCGGCCGAGAGTGTACTATTTAAATCATTTTATTTGAGTGTTATTCTACACTTACATGCCTTACATTATTTCTTCGAGTAACAGACAGTGGTGTGCCGTTATTTTAAATTCCACTGTTTTGATTTTATTTCGTTCAAAAAGATCCTAATTATATTGCTTGATATTTACTTTTTGTTTATGATATATTATTGGTGTTTGTTTTATCTTTTCAAATTATTTTTGTTAAAAAAATTGCTTTATCCAATAATAATATACCGTGTGGAAACAAAATAGTTGCATGAACTGTCATTTGATCGTCCTTCTATCGCTTTAATTTAAGTAACGTCAAAATTTGGATAAAATTTGGTGTCTGGGAGTTTTTTAACATGATAAATTTGATTTTGACGTCAATATGACTCCTACATGAAGAGGGCGCCACCTACATATTTTTAACATGTTTGGAGAGTAGTAACTTTTCGTCTGTACCTGTATAAAACTACTGAGTAAAAAAATATACATTCACGATGTTTTTACGTAAAAAAGGTCTCTTTCTCTATCTATATTGGAACATTTCAGGTAAAAAGAAAGATATTTGTAAAGTCAGCAACCCCCGTTTACACGGCGGTACCTGCATACAGATTTCACAACAACCAGGTTACAAATGTCGGTGTGAAGGTACCAGCTATTCGGCATGAGATGCAACAGAGGTAATTATAAATCTATTCATTTATAGCAAAATAACTAATCACTTATTCACCAAAACACTTTACGGTTAACACTGGAAGTACATTTTAATGGTTCTTGAAGTATTCTGAATCGTAATTATCAATACCTGTCATCGCTGACATAAACATGCAGTTGACTGAATAGTTATTAGACTGAAATCATAAATTTGAAATGTTTTTGTGCCACAAGTTCAACAGAAATTGTTTTATCATCATTTTTTCGCAGAAAAATTTATGATTAATTAAAAAAATAAAGATTTCCCAAATTTATTATTTCAGTCAACTACCTATCTACTCAACATATTTATTTTTTGTCACTAATGACATGCATTGACTATTTCCATTCTAAATATCTTCAGAACGGTTGGTGTAATTATCTTGAGAACGAATTTTTTATGTAAAAAGTAACGGAAATGTATATTTTTTCACTCAGTAGTTTTATACAGGTTCGGACGAAAAGTTATAACTCTTCAAAACAGTTAAAACACATGTAGGTGACACGTGACACCCCCTACAAATAGGAGGCATATTGACATCAAAATCAAATTTCTCCCAACTCCCAAACACCAATGTTTATCCACATATTGACGTTGCTTCAGAAATTATTTGGAAAAATCGGAATAAAAATGAAACTTCTAGACCCTGTATCTCCGAAACTAAGTTTGAAAATAGATGGAGAATATCTTAACCATCTAAGATTCGCTGATGACATAGTCCTAATTGCCAATAGTTCTGAAGAACTACAAGCACAAATTAACGAACTAAATACAGCCAGCAATAAAGTAGGTCTCAAACGTCTCAAAGTAGACAGAAAATACATTCTACTGTAACCACCGTAATAACAAGGCCGGACAGCTGTGACGTAAAAATCTCGTGACGTCACCAACTGGAGGCGCAACTTTATTTAGCAGCGTTGATAATTACGCGATAAAAGTTCAAATTGTGGATCTTTTTTCACTCACCAGATAGGCCAGAAGTTTTAAACTGTCTTTTTACGAGTTTTTAAAAATATTATAGTATATAAAAATAGTTTTAATAGAATACGGAAAAAATCATACCAGTCAATAAATGTTTATCTCTCACTTTTTATCAATCAAATTTAATAAAGGAATATTTTAAGTTCACAATAGTGTATAATATGAGAAAAAAACAATAAAAAAATAGATGTTTTTTATAGTATATATTATGCATTTTATCGATATTTTACGCTTCCTGTGGACAATTCTCTGAAATGGGACATACATATCGAAGCTTTGTCGAAAAAATTGAGCTCTGCCTGTTTTGCATTAACGTCTGTTTCTAAGGAGCTTAACTTGTCAGTGCCTAGAACTGTTTATTATGCACTTTTTGAGTCGCACCTCAGGTATGCCCTTCCATTCTGGGGTGCGTGTTGTGCGACTCAATTTGACCGTATTTTCAGGCTCCAGAAGAGAGATGTTCGATATTCACTGGGACTAAACAGCAGAACTCATTGCCGGGACTTTTTTAAAAAATTAAAAATATTGACTCTTCCTTCCTTATTTATATTTGAATCCGTTTGCCTAATACGTAAACATGTATCAGCTTCTCAAGAAAGGCCATCTCACACTTATCCACTCAGGAACGCGGAGCAAGATCTTTATCTACCTACCCCACGCTCAGAGTTAGTTAAAAGTTCAATATTATACAACTCGAAAAAAATGCACAATCACCTGCCATTTGAAATCAGATCCATAACATCATTTTTTTCATTTCGCAAAGCATTGAACTCTTATTTACTACACAAGGCTTTCTACGCCGTAAATGAATTATATTTTGAAAATCAAATTTGATCTTGTAAACACTGGTCTAATGTTTGCTATTGCTATATTTACTAATGCCATCGAAATGAATTTATTTAGAGGTCATTGATATTTTACTATAAACTAGCTAAATATTTTTGAATATTATTTTTATTTTTGTTCTTTGACATTATAAACATTTATAAATGTTTATTTTAACAATAAGACTGACAATATTATTTGTATAATGTTTTGTATTATCTTTTGTTTGTTTGTTTGTGTACCTTGTTTTTTTACTTTGTTTGTTAGTTTACCTTTGTCTACAAATTGAAAAATTTTTTGACAATAAAGGCATTTATTTATTTATTTATATTTATATTCCTAGACTGGGGCGACGGTGCCGCGCGGCGGCGCCTGTCGTAGCACGTAGCGGAGTGGTATTGCCGCAGTTGAAAGTCATCGATTTATCGGTAGGTGTGCGGACGTGATAAGTGGTAATTATAATCGATAATAGAAGGGTGAAAAAAGTTATGAATCTGTAAAAAGGGGTGTTTAAACTATAAAGTGGTTATAAGTGTATGCAATTATACAATTTAAAAAATATAATGCCTTGGGTTTCCAAAAGATGAAATTACTAATATAGTTTTATTTGAATATATAATTTTTAACAAAGTTTTGCAAAGCCATGTTTCTCAAAATTCACAATAAAAACATATTTTTATCAAAAATTGGATTACATTAAAAGTAATAACACCATTATTAAAATTTCCGCAATGTACTATTTATAAGTCATAAATTCTATTAGAAATACACGTCTGAAAAACTACTGTTGTTAAAAAATAATGATAGACTTGGAAAAGGAAATAAAAGAAACTTAGACACACTTACAGCATAAATAAATACAATGACGATGGATAATATGAGATGAGATATCAATCTGATGTTTTTTAAATTTTATGTTTAGTTATTATTTATTAAAAATTCGGTGCAATTAAAGTTTATATCCATTATATATAGGGAAATTGGAACAATTTCCGTTGCACGTCATCGCAATGACACCATGCGTCGTCTTATGGAGTTTGTTGGTGGTCGTATTATGATGTGCAACGGAAGTTATTTTAATTTCCCTATACGTATAAAGTGTATCAAATGCAATCAAAGTTTAGGCCTCCAGTTGATGACGTCACGAATAAGCTGTCCGGCCTTGTTATTACGGTGGTTACGATTCTACTAAATAACAAAAAACTGGAAATAGTAGAAAATCTGTGTTTTAATAAAATATTATTTCGAACTCTCAAATTTATTTTAAATTAATTGGATTTTAGCAATAAAAAAAACGACGGCTTCTACAACAATGTCATTGTCACCCATCATTATAGGTAGAAACAATATGTATTTAAAATAATATTCATGTAATAAAATGGATGTTCCACCCCTGGATGTTGATGATAGTGCACTGCGTTCTCTCATTGCTGTTGATAAGAAAGATCGTTGGCCTCTTTCTGAAATTACGAGCACAGCTGCTGATAACAGATATATACATGCAGAAGCTTTGGGCTATAAACTAAGACAAGCGAGAGATTTACAACGGGCGATTATAGGGCTCCCGTTGATGGTTATTTATAATATCTGTTGTGGGTAAAGAGGACGGCGCTACGGAGCAACAGGAACATGTGATGTGGCATCGTTTTTATCCACAAGTAGTCACGAGTTGGATGAATTAATTAGAACCTCGCTTAGTAGTGGAGTGCTTTAAGCCCTTATGGGATACATACAAACCTCGGAATTCATTTACTGTGAACGAATTTTTATAAAACTTCTTGCATTGTATTTTTAATAAGATATACAGGGTGGCCCATCGAAAACGTTCCGCAAGGCATAACGGCCAGGGTAATTTTTTTTCAGAAAATCCAAAAACACGTCAATTTTGTTTGTGAGGGGGACAACTTTTGCCCCAAAAATTATTGCAAAATCTTCAACCCTCTAAGCGGGGGTGTCATCCCCCAATTTTTTTCAAATGGGAAGGGGGGTCAAGTGGTACCGCAATGAAAAGGGTTTTCTATTCTCTATATATAGTACCTATCTCGGGAAAGTTCCCGCTTCGTTTTTGAAAATCGGTAGAGTCATTGAGAAAATATGAAGGATTGAAATTTGAAAAGTTTATTTAAACATTTACCAGAACAAATGATAAGGATAAATTCTTCGACCAATTTGCTGTTTTTTCTTATTATTTCTAGATGTTTACGCATTTTATCACTTGCCACAAGGTTGAACGATCAGGTGTGGTAGTCGCTAGATAGCTGTTCTGTGACTTATGCGTTGAAGTTCTTCTCAATATCGTTAAACTTTTTAACAATTATGGTGTACTCACTTGCAGAAAAAGTGGAAATAATCGACCTTTATTTTAAAAATACTGAATGTGGCAATCGGGTTGCGCAGATATTCAATGAACGCCATCCTGACAAACACATTTATGGCAAAATGGTTCGCGAGTTAGTAGCAAAATTTCGCGAAACTCTGGTTCCGTTATGAATAAAA